CCCTCTCTACATCTTTTCTCCTGCCCCTTGACATCCCTTTTTTACCTTCACATCTCCTTCTTTGTTGTTTCCCCTCCTAGATTTGACCCTCTCATGTTTTCTCCTCTGTCCCCTTTACTCTCTTTCCACTCTTTTGCTCACAAATCTACTATCATTTAAGGTGATTTTTCTCAAGTATGTTGAGTTCCTCCTTATCACATTTTAGTGAGATTTTTCAAAAACTTTAACCATTCAATAAGATAATTCTCCTACCTAAGTAGCTCCTTTTGAATGGGAAAATATTATATTGAGAATATAATAAAGAAGTATTTGGCTTAAATACAAGGAGTCTCCTCCTCCTATAGTCAATTAATTTAAGGTTGGATGCATGCTTTATGTTGAAACCAATATGTCAATTTTCACATGCTATTAGCACCTAGACTTTGTTCTCTTGAGAAGCCTATTGTTAGCTTACGTGACATGATTTGAAGTTTATACTAGACTTGCATATAAAGGGGTATATTAAGATTTGACATTCATAGCTTGTTGAGTGAAGAAATCTCATATAAAAAATAAAACCAAAAAAATGTAACTTAAATATAGAGAGAGTTACTTCATTTATAACTAATTAGTTTTAGGATGGATATAAATCTTATGTTTAAATTTATATGCACAATTTTCTTAGCTCCATCTTTACCCTTATAGCAATTACTTTTAGTACCTAATTGCAAATAGTTCTCTATATGCCTAGATTCATTGTGGGTATAATTTGAGGTTGTAACTAGTAATATAAGTTCTGTTTTAATTTTAAGTTATAATGTCATGATATATGAAGATTCTAATGTAATTTCTTTTTATTTTTCAATAAATTTTCTATTTTTTATAAAAAAAAATTCTTAATATACCAAAAGATATGGTAGTATTTATTCTTTGACTTTACCCTGTACCATACAAACTTCTTCTATTCTTTTGTTATACATATTATACATACGAAGAAAGATTCATTTATATATAAATTTTATATATTATATTTATATAAAATTTTAATCATTAATTTTTTATTTTTAATAATTAAGTTTATCATAATTTTTTAAATAAAAATAATTATTTAAAATAAAAAGATCAATACTTAAAATTTATACAAATATAATATATATATATATATA